GAAAATAGGGGCAAGGAAGGAAAAATACCTTGACCAAAGTCAAAACTAAATCAGTGGAACTCAAGGTCTCCCATTGAGGTTCTCGCTATTTCCCTACCCAGTGGTCAGCAAACTCATTAGTCAACAGAGCCAAATATCAACAGTACAACGATTGAAATTTCTTTTGAGAGCCAAATTTTTTAAACTTAAACTATATAGGAAGGTACATTGTTATTAACTTAATTAGGATACTCCTAAGGCTTAGGAAGAGCCACACTCAAGGGGCCAAAGAGCCGCATGTGGCTCGCGAGCCACTGTTTGCCGATCACTGCCCTACTCAAACTAAGTAGACCAGTTCTGCTGTTACCACAAAGTTAGAGAAGCACAAGCTTGGGCACCAATCACCTCAGCTCCTTGTGTTCTACTTAAACCACCTTATCAGTTCAAGTATAATTAAATTCTGCAACAGTTCCTGAGCATAACTCCTCCTTGAGCAGACTTAAACCATTACTATCTTACTATTATTTTGTATCTAAGGACATTGCTACCCAGCTTGACAAGGGTAGAAAAAAAAGGAACTATATCCACCCTGCAAAATATCTAACATTGAAAGACAGTCACAAATCATAGTGTTTCATACAAGGGTGTGGATTTGCAAAAAACAAACAAAAAAAAAACTATAGGTTTTTCGTTTCTCTATTTTCTACTCAGGTCTCTACTGTACGCAGAAGCAGACTTAACTGGCATAAATCAGAAAATGATAATGGGAACTGAATGAAATCCTCATAAATCACGTTACTAAGTATAGTTACATCTTAGATGTGAAACCCAATTAAACAGATGGCCACATGCTGTCAGAATCAGGCCCTAATCAATAAAGATGTTCATTTCAGAAAATCACCTCAATTTTTCATTTCTTCAGTGAAGCAAAAAGAAGGCAGTTGGGGCTGGGGTGTCCCAGGAAACCCAGTGGGGAAATGTATAAGAAGGTACTCCACCTGTCTTAATTTGTAGTCCAGAAAAATCAGAAAGGAGAGAGAAAAAAATCGCCCAAAGGATTCCCTGTCATCTTGCCTGGGAATGTAATTTACAATGAGAGCAAACACTGGTCATTAGGAAAATAGGAACAGCTGAATCTCTTAATTAAAATCCCACTTCAAATTGTTCATTCCAAACCCCCTCTGCTCATGAGCTTTCCAGAAACCACTGGGTTACCCTAAAATGGCTGCTTCTTCAGTAAACCTCTGATAGGATTGGTTCTTCCCAGACAAGAAAAAGGCTGAGCAGGGGTGAATCTTGGAGACAGAATTATTATGAGACTTACTTAAATCTTCAAAGGAGCAGTAAAAGCATTCACTGACATTGGAAAGTGAGTATGGAAACATTAGTGAATAGTCTATCTCAATGCCTTTTCTTGCATAACGGCTGATCTATTACATTCACTATATTGGTAAAAATTAAGTCTACCAATGCTAAGAAGTGGTTAAAATGATAGTTGATGAAAACACTTCCATAGTCTGGAACACTCACTTTGGAAAACATTTGGTGTTATCTAGTAAAGTTGAGTATTTACATACCCTACAAGCCAGTAATTCCATCCCTAGTATAGACTCCAAACACTTTTTTAGGGGACTTGTATGAGAATATACTGAGCAGTGCTGTTCATAATTGCAAAAATATAGGGGGAAACACATAGGTCTCTCAACAGAAAAGATCTGTAAAACAAATAAGTAATCTGGGATACAGTCACACAATGGAATATTATATGGCAGTGAAAATGAAATAAACTACTGCCACATGCTACAGGATGAATCTTAAAAACATACTAATTGAAAAAACACAGTTGCTTAAGATTGCATATCATTCTTAATATGCTACAACATAAACAAAAATAAATATATTGTTTAGGGATTCTTAAATGATTTAAAATTTATTTTAAAAAAAAAGAAAATGATAAACACACAAATCAGAATAATGGTTACCTCTATGGTGTGGGAGAGGAATAGGATGGGGAGGAGCATGGACAGATGCAATAATATTGGGAATGTTCCAGTTCTTGGTTGGGTGGTGGATTCACAGGCATATATTTATCATATGTTTTCTTATATCCTTTATAACTTCATATGTTCTAGCATGTTCCATATATTATTTAGCATGTACCAAATATTATATAAAACATTTTCTTTTAAAGTGGATAATCTACAGAATTTTCTATTGCCCAATAGGTTATTTCAAGTAATATTATAATTCATATTATATAAATATAATTCATATTATTATAATGTTTATAATTGATAGCCTTATAGCTAATTGATAGCCATAAATTTCCATATGCAGCATAGTTTTCAACTGGGAGCTATATTAAAACATCATGTTGTACACTTTAAATTCAGACAATTTTTATTTGTCAATTGTATCTCCATAAAGCTGGGGGGAAGAAAGCAATGGTATTTTCATGATAATAGTGAATACTTGTACAGTAAGGAGTGACATTCAAAATATTTAACTGATTTGATTACATAAATGGATGTAAAAATCCAAATTACCATCATCTGCTTGTTTTCCTTCTGTTCACTACCCTCCCAGATCAGTTCTGCAGAGACTGCCATTCCAAGTGTGGCCACATGAGGACGACTCTAAGGAGATGTGCCTGCTGGGAGCAGGAGACCACAGCCTCAGGGCTGTCTGTCCTCTGTGGCCAGGGAGTCCTGTCCAGATGAGGGCCAGCATGAAGGGTGTACTGTGAGCATGCAGGATGCCTCACTGAGAAGGTAGCATTTGAGCAAATATTTGAAGGAATTGGGAGTGTGAACCATACAGAGCACTTAGGGAAGTTTTCCTACTCAAAGAGAGCCCGGAGTATAAATGCCAGGAGGGAAGGGTCTCATGCTTTAGGAACAGGAAGGAGGCCAATGTGGCTGGAACAGATAGGGATAAAGGCAGCCTGGAAAGAGGCCCCTGGCCATTGCAAGTAGCTTGGCTCTTAATCTGAATAAGCGAGGAAGCTGATAATGGGTTCTGAGCAAAGGAGGAAAATGAGGTGATTGTTAAACATCTTAAAATACTGCAATATTATATTTAGAATAGATTGAAGGGGGATAAGGACAGAAGCAGGGATGCCAGAGAGGAGGTGATTATAGGTATGGGGGGGCATGGTCAAGAGTGGCTAGTCTTTATAAATTCCATCCCCCACATTCAATAAACAGCATAGAGAGATGCTTAAAACCATGAGATTAGATGTTATTGCCAAGCAAGGGAGGGAAGATGGAGACCAGAAGAGGTGTAGGAGGGGGAGGGGGTATGAGAAACGTGTAAGGGCTCAAGCAGAAGAGGACCACCTTCTCCATAACAGGTAACCACCAACCTGAACTCACCATTGTCATTCTCATGAATGTCAAATAGAATTGTCCCGCATGCTTCTGAACCTCATTTATCTAGTAACATACTCAATATATTTTCCCAAGTTGTTTTTTCCACCACACAATAGAATATCTGTGAGGCTCACCCATGTTAATACATGTCACTTTAGGTCAGTGATGGCGAACCTATGACACGCGTGTCAGAGGTGACATGCGAACTCAGTTTTTTGGTTGATTTTTCTTTGTTAAATGGCATTTAAATATATAAAATAAATATCAAAAACATAAATCTTTGTTTTACTATGGTTGCAAATATCAAAAAATTTCTGTATGTGACACGGCACCAGAGTTAAGTTAGGGTTTTTCAAAATGCTGACACGCCAAGCTCAAAAGGTTCGCAATCACTGCTCTAGGTCACTCATTGTTCACTGCTATGTGGCATTCCTTTGTGTAAACATGCCACATTTAATTCATTTTCCTGTGGAGGGACACATAGCTTATTCCCCTTTTCCTGCTATTATAAACAATACTGTTATGAGCATTCTCACATGGGGCTTACTATATGAGACTTCTTTAGGGCAGTAGTTCTCAAACTATGTTAGTCACCTAGAGAGCTTAATAAAAGGTATTTCTGAGCCCTGTGTCCAGGGTTTGTGAACAATAGGTCTACAGTGCATTTTAACAAGTTCCCCCATGATGTTCTTGCTGTTGTCCCAGGACCACATTTTGAGAATCACAGCACTAGGGCACATGCCGAGTGCAAATGATGGTCAGAGAGATGCATGCACAACTTTGTCTTTCTATGTTGCCAAATTTCTCTGCAAAGTGAGTGAACCAATTTCTACTTTCACCAGCAGTGTCTGGGTGCCAACATTTGGTGCTGTCAGATTTTTAATTTGTGCCAATCCGATCTTTAATCATTTTTAAACTTATCATGGCATTTATAATTACATATATCCACAGCATGTAAATAAAAGAAACTCAAAGCTTTGCATCCTAGGGTTAATCAGAACATTTCCAAACTTTAGGGGGCAGATGTGCAATGCAGGAGCTGCCCCCTCATGGTCAGTGTGCTCCCACAAGGGGAGTGCCACTCAGTCAGAAGCCAAGCTCATGGGTGGCAAGTGCAGTGGTGGTGGTGGGAGCCTCTCCCGCCTCCGAGGCAACTCTAAGGATGTCTGAGGGCTCCTGGACTGTGAGCAGGAGCAGGCCGGGCTGAGGTACCCCCTCTATGTGCACAATTTCGTGTACTGGGCCTCTACTATATAGATAGTCCCCTCAGGTTCTATAATCTACCCAGTGTTATCTGCTTGTTTTTCTGCTCAATCCTAAAAAATAAACAAAATGGTATAGACAAAATCAGTAAGACCATTCTGAGAGAAAAGTGGAAGCTTGTTTCTTTTCATGGCTAACTTCATTGTATTTTTATTTATTGTAGTTGGGAGTTTTTCACTCAATGGTGATATAAAGCTTTAAAGAACTTGTAAGGTGAAGGGAGTGAGGAAAATTGGGCATATGGGTATGGAAACAAACTTCTTTCACCAAAATACTTGGTCACTTTTGGGGCAAAAATAAAAAATGCCCTACCCTTAATCATAGTCCTGGAAAAGTTCCTTCCATTTTGTACCAGATTAACAAGGAGAAGAGAAGCCGAGTACTCACGGATTTGGTTGGTGGATGCACTATAGAAAGCATTGACAGTCGTTGGATTTGTAAACCACCTGTAGCAAGAGAAACAAATATCACCAAGTGATCATCATTATCCAGGCAGGAGGGCAGCAAGAACAAACGCAATGTTAACCAGGGAACAATGGGGATATGAGGCAAGTGGGGAAATTATCGCTTCAATTTAGGGCTATTGTTCTGCTCAATAAACAATCTCATCCTAAACTGGACATGGTTCAATGAGAATATATTAACATGCCTGTTTATTCGCTGTTACTAACTACAGAGAAAGTCAGCACCAGTGCTTCTGAAACAGTTTAATGAGAAATCCTAGACTCTAACGGGCTCTCCGTGCAGATGGAAACATGGCAACAAGCTGATGTTTGCCAGGCCCTGTTTAATGGGCCCACAGGACAGCTGAGTTACTATGCGGTGTAACCTCTGACCTTTCCTCATTAAAAAAAAAAAAATGGAATAGTGTTAACACAGGGGTCCATGTAAAGAAAGATTAATAAAGTACAACCATGCTACCCAGAGTATCTGCCTACTCTGGTAGAAAGTTTACTGATTTGACCACCAAAAGATCGATTGACTCATTCTGCCACTATCACCAACTAGCTAGGCTGTGGTGGAATAGTCGCCTACTTTCTGAGGTTCGGCTTTAGCTATGAAATTAAGGTTGCATTAGAAGATCTTGGGAGTACCTTCCAGCTATGAAGAATCTACACCCCACTTAAATTAGAGCTCCGGAAAAAAAAATTTTCTGTGAAGAGTCAGGTGGTAAACATGTAGGTATTTTGCAGACTAAGAGGCAAAATCAAGGATGTTATATAGATACTGCTATAGTGAGAAATTTTTCCACAAATCTTTAATGAAATTCAAAACATAATAATCATGTACAATTTTTGGTAATACAGGACTATTAAAAAGAATGGAATTCTTTTGGTGCAGGACAACATTTTGCCTAATTGGGGTTCAAAGTTTGTGCTTTGCATCATCAAATCAACTACAAACATTTCTCTCTAAGAATTTCTGGTGAGTCATACAAAAACAGGGAACAGGCAAGATTTAGCTACAAGCCATAGTTTGCCGACCCTTGACTCAGATGGCTGTGAGTTTCAGCCAATTCCCTTTCTGATTCAAACAAAGCAATTTGTTTGAAGCTAAACTGCTTAATATAAATTCCTTTTCAGAACAATCATTTTATTAATTTATGTTTAACAGAATAATTATGTATGTCAGTAATCTGAAACTAGCAGGAAATCTAAGTGCTGATTCTTGTTGGCCCACCCATACCTTTTCCCCATCTATAAAGAAGTCCACGTATATGTCATTCTATTATTATTATTATTTACTAATATTCATTGAGCAATTACTATGTCCTCAGCATTTCCTATTGATAGGTTTTTCCCCATAGCAACCATAACAATTATTAGCTCATTACACAAATGAAGACAATGAAATTTACAAGCATAATGTGCTTGTACAAAGTCTGGTCAGTCTGAACTTCAAACCAGTTCTCTTAAGTATTATAGTATACTGGAGACATTATTGGATATCAAGAAAGAATGTCTCTTTTCTTGTAAAAATTGAAACCTATACTCTCTTCCATAAGTGTATATTCTTTTCATTCAACCTTAAGATTCATATTTCAAAAGGTCTTAATGGTTAACACAAAGTTACTGACTGGACTATTTTCCTGAGGAAATAAGTGGATATAAAAGCACCTTTATTTGTTGCTATCTATAGTAGATAGAATTATGGTTCCCAAAAAGATATCTACATACTAATCCCTGGATCCTGTGAATATGTTACATCACATGGCAAAGAGGACTGCAGAGTAATTAAGTTTAAGGACCTAAAAATAGGGAGGTTATCCTGGATTTTCTGTGTTCCCATTTGAATCACATGGGCTCTTAAGAGCATTAAACCTTCTCTAACTGGAATCTGAGAGATACAACACGGAAGAGGAGGAAGTCAGAAGAGATGCTACACAACCAGAAGTCCAGAGAATCCAAGAGTGAAAAGGATTCCACACACTGTTTCTGGCTCTGAGATGCAGGGGCCACGTGCAAGGACCAGAGAGAGACCTCGAGTGAAGAGTGGCTCCTAGCTAACCTTCACGAAGGAAGGAGGGACCTTAGTTCTACAACCACAAGAAACTGGATTCTGCCAACACATGATGAGCTTGGAAGAGGCGTCTTCCCAGAGCCTCCTGCTAAGGGCCTGCCCAGCTGACACCTTAATTTCAGCCTTGCAAAACCTGGAGCTGAGAAACCAGCCAAGCCAACCCACCCTTCTAACCTACAGAACTGTGAAATAATACATTTGTGATTTTGAGTTGCTACAGCTGTGGTAATGTAATACAGCAGTAACATAAAAATAATATACTACCCAAAGACCCAAGCATTTGTATGTCTGCTTTTTGGGTCAAGAGAGGGAGAATCCAGGTGTATCTCAACTTGTCTTTTAAATAACATTGGACTGAAATATAATATATTCAAAAGATTAAGTGTATTCCTAGAGCTCACCCCTTCTCTTCCCATTCCTCCCAACTCCTCTCCCTTTTGCAAAGAATAAACTTTCAGAATATTAGGGTAAGAGCCATGCAAGGAAAATGTTTCTAACTGATGATGGATCAAGAGGGACAAAACAGCCCTAACTGGTTTGGCTCAGTGGATAGAGCGTCAGCCTGTGGACTCAGGGGTCCCAGGTTCGATTCTGGTCAAGGGCATGTACCTTGGTTGTGGGCACATACCCAGTAGGGAGTGTGCAGGAGGCAGCTGATTGATGTTTCTCTCTCATCAATGTTTCTGACTCTCTATCCCTCTCCCTCTCTGTAAAAAATCAATAAAATATATATTTTTTAAAAGAAAATCTTAAAAAAAAGATTGACAAAACAAAGAAATCAAACAACCACATGGGTGCTCTGAAGCTTCAGCAAGAATACCTAAAACATCTTATTTCACATACATGACTTCAGTTTTCCTGACCTCCCAGAGCTCTTGCTGATTCTAGGGCATGTTTAGAGCCTTGATGATAGCCAGAGCTCATATCAGTTGTGGATGCTATATTTTTTACTAGAGGCCTGGTGCACAAATTCGTGCACAGGTGGGGTCAGGCCACCCGCCCCAATAGGGGCCAATCAGGGCCGGGCTGGCGGGGGTGGGGGAGAAGGGGATGTGGGAGGTTGGCCGGCTGGTCCCAACCCTGATCGGGATGGGGGGCCAATAGGGGGTGAGGCTGGCCAAGAGGAAGGGCTGTGGGAGGTTGGTCAGCCCTGCCCCTGATCAGGATGGGGGGAGCTGATCAGGGGTGGGGCTGGCTGGGGGGAGGGGCCACGGGAGGTTGAGGGGAGCTGACTGGGGCTCCAATCAGGCCAGTTGGTCACCGCAATGTGCATCATAGTGACTGGTCATTCAGTAGCTTGGCTTTTATATATATAGATTGGTCAATGCCCACGCTGTTAAATATTTTCTATATCACCCTTATTACATCCAAGTTTATTATATATTTAGTTTTATTATTCTTTAATGTAAGGCTACCTGTGCTAGTTCTAATCTGTAATTTTTTTTACACTCCTCCTATTAAGAGGTGAAATCTAAGCTCCTCTCCTCTTGATTATGGGTTAGCCTTGGTGACTCACTTTTAAAACATACACTGCAGTGGACAATGACACCATGTGACTTCCAATGCTAGGCAGTTAAAGATGATACAGCCCCTCTCCCGCATCAGGTGACCACATGTGCTGCCCTCCCTCACTCTCTCCTTCTTAGGAAACTTGCTCTTTGAAGTTTCTTGCTCAATCAGCATGCTATAAAGAAGCCCAGTACTCACAGAGAGCTGCAGCAGGCATTCCAGCCAACAGCCTGCATCAACCACTAGATCCAAGAGAGGAAGTCTTTCATGTGACTCCAGTCTCAGTCACTATCTGACTGTGACTTACATGAAAGACCATGAGCAAGAACCACCCAGCTGGACCTAATGACCTCCAGAGCCACAAGAGAGAATAAACAATTACTGTTGTTTTAACCCTCTAAACTTTAGGGTGGCTTGTTATACAACATTAGATCATTGAAATACTGAAAAGTTGGCTGTCCAGAGACTAAGTGCTACCTAATAGGTTGAATTTTTCCATAAAAAAATGTTTCATTTGTCCACATGGTGGTTTTAAAAGGTACTAAATTGGAATCCCTTAAAATGAGATGTATGATCACTAGTGCTCCATAGTACACTCCATTCCCTACCATTTACACCTGTCTAGGCCACCGTTTGTTAACTCATGGGCCCTGAAGGCATTTGAGTTTGCATAACTTATCTCCCAACAAGATTTTAAGTTCCTTATGGGCTAAGACTATTGTCCAAGTGGTATGTGCTAAGCAGAAGATCACTAAATCTATTTAAATGAATTTATTGCTATGTATACATTTATTTGGATAAATAAAAAATGTCATTCATGTGCTTTAAGTTTTCCTTCCTATGTCTTTAGGATGTTCCTCTATGCTATGTTTGGGTAATGATTTCGTGGATAAGGAGGGAAGAGGTCTCATATATATTTCAAATCCAAAAATACATGGAAATAAAATTATACTGGACAATGGGATATATAAAAGGACCGCAATACTGAAATACAATAATCTAAAGGAAAGGACATTGGCACCCTGATTTATATGAACCCTATAAAATAGATGTGCATCAAGCTAGAGTTTTATATTTTACCTATCAACTCATAAAGATAGTCTAAGGAGTATAGAATGGAAAAATCATAGAGTATTTACTGCTTTATTTCTAATATCCTATAGATTATATCCTTCCCATTCCATGTTATAGATAATGCTTTTGCAAATAAAAATTCGGCACAGGACCATAATTTGTGTAGACATTTGATGTATTTTTACACATTTTTTTCAGAAGCTAGAGAAAGAAAATCCAGTCATGTTTGGTCACGGTAGAGTGAGAATGAGTTAATAGGGAAGCTAGCTTAAAATCATTTCTGTCAAAGAAGGGGGATCCTGAGGGAAAGAAATTACTTTTGATTCAAGCTGAGAAATGAAGTAAATCCCCTATTTTTAAGCAAGCTGAGGAAGTGACAATTCTGAGAACCAACACTAAATATGTACCTTCAGGGATGACCACCCAATTAATTCCATTCTTGCTGACATTTATCATCACATTAGAAACTTCTTAATGTACATTAGTGCAGCAAAAATGGATTCCATGAGAATGAAAGATAAAGGGTATTTATCTCCTATACCCACAAAGAAGCAAAATGTTATTTCAGGGCTTTATAGAAATATAATCATGATGTGCTGAACTAAGTAAACTAGTGTAGTGGAGATACTCCACAATCATCCTCACTCGATTAACTCATGAATTTTTAGGCCTAAAAGATATCTATTAAAGCCAATGAGTATCATTAAAGCTAAAATTATCTACCATGCCAGAAAAGGACCAGCCCAAAATTTCTTTTAAAAAAATTAACTATCGCATCACCTTATCATGTAAAAAGGAACTTAAATTCCTTAATGTTGCTTTCCCTGAAATAGACATATATCAGAGAAAATAAGATTTGCTAGCATTGTGCTGATTTTCATTCCTGGAGAACTTTCCAGAAACATTAACCAATTTAATGTCCTTCTGAAACAGTTATTTGTGATAGAGAATAAAACTTATGCAAATCACTGTTTTTCTAAGCCCACAAAGTCAGCCAGCAAAAAATTAGAAATAGTCAAGGCTTTTAGAATCTGACAGCCCATCAGTATTTTAGGATGATGTTAAAGATGGCACAGATAGGAGTTTTTCAAAGAGCAACCCAGCCTTTGCTACACACCCAAATGAACAACGTCATTTTGAAACTGAACAATTAACTTGGCAGCATCTTCAATACAGAAGAGTCTCTGAGAAGGCCCAGAAGTTTCACAGAAATACTCGTAAGAGCCTTGCATTTTCCACAAGTTGGAAAAAAAAGAGTTTGGATTGATCTGAAGTAGATCTGAAAGGGCAGGATGATATTCACAGATCTGTGACTACCATACTATATGCAGATGCTCATTGGGATATTGGAAACCATTTGCTGAAGTCATTGGATTTGAGAAACTAGTTTTAGAACCCTAAAGGTGAAATTACTATTGAATTATTTAGGTTGGGAATGAAATAGGATAGACTAAACCAGCCATGGGCAAACTACGGCCCGCGGGCCAGATCCGGCCCATTTGAAATGAATAAAACTATTGAAAAAAAAGACCATACCCTTCTATGTAATGATGTTTACTTTGAATTTATATTAGTTCACACAAACACTCCATCCATGCTTTTGTTCCGACCCTCCGGTCCAGTTTAAGAACCCATTGTGGCCCTCGAGTCAAAAAGTTTGCCCACCCCTGGACTAAACGATACTATGATGAGAGAAGAGAACCAAGGGCAGTGGAGCAGATGGCTTTAAACCAGTTATCTCTCATTTCCAAAGAAGTTCTAAAGCCTTCTGCTCTCTTCCTTTGTGCTTTTGATTGGTGTCAGGGATGGGTAGGGGAGTGATTCAGCTTTAGGCCTACTCCTAAGGTCGAAGTTTTCACTAACTGTGTGGGTGCGTGTTATAGGAAAGTTTGAATGGCAGAAGGCAGGAATGGCTAGATGGAAATCATGGCTAAGAGGGAAAGGCGGTAATCCCAGTTTAAGGCAAGGGATGGTATGGAACGTAAAGTGTCTAGAGGCCAGAATAGAGCAGGGAGTTGGAAGGAAGAATAACAAGAGACCCAGAGAGGATAAAAAGAGCCAGCCAAAAATCTGGAGGCCAGAATATAAGACAGGTTTAAAAAGTGGGCCATTATAAAAGGTGGGCATGGAAGCCAGGCCTCCAGCTATGATGTATGAGAAGGTCAATAAATCCTTTCCACAAAAATCACTTGGACAAAGTTGTTAACAAACAACCATTTTAGGGCTCTGGAAATTGATCAAAGGCAAACAGCAAATTGGAAAAAAAAAAAGGTTTAGTTTAGGAAAAACTGCTAGAGCTGGAAGTAAGTAGAAGAGAAGTGTATAGCCTAGCCAGGGACTGCTCCCATCCCTCCCAGCTCAGTCCATGAGAACTTTTCTCAGGATAGGGTTGGCTGAACAATCAGCTGCTTTTTGCCACAGGGGGTGGACTCAATTAGGAGTGGAGGTGAAAACTTGCAGCTATGTCAGCTCAAACTGTTGAACTTGTTAAAAAATAAGTGAAAACAACCCATAGCTTTGCTAGCCTGAAATTATAATTCCCATCAGGGAGAGCAATGGACCAACCAGAAATTTAAAAGTAAGATCCTGGAACTAAGAGTTGTAGAAGGGTGAGATAAGCTCGCCACACATCCCTGGCTGACTGGAAACCAGGAACATATAGAGGGGACAGCAGAGAATGTCCAGTGGGAAGTAAAATCTAAGGCAGGTTGTAACTTTGAATGGACTCCCAACTCCTACCACAGACCAACTGGCAGAGGGTAAAAGCCCTACAGGCTAGAAGTGTTTGAGTAAAGTTCAGTCCTGATCCCCTGAGCACTAAACTATGCAGACACAGGGACAAACTCTAGGAAGTGAGGCTAATACAGTGGTTCTCAACCTGTGGGTCACCAACCTGTGGGTCACGACCCCTTTGGGGGTCGAATGACCCTTTCACAGGGGTCGCCTAAGACCATCGGAAAACACATATATAATTACATATTGTTTTTGTGATTAATCACTATGCTTTAATTATGTTCAATTTGTAACAATGAAAATACGTCCTGCATATCAGATATTTACATTACAATTCATAACAATAGCAAAATTACAGTTACGAAGTAGCAATGAAAATAATTTTAAGGTTGGGGGTCACCACAACATGAGGTATTAAAGGGTCACGGCATTAGGAAGGTTGAGAACCACTGGGCTAATAAATAAAATTAAAAAGTATTTAAAAAATAAGCAGAGACATCCACAGCTGCATACTATAGAGGACACAGATTCTGTAGTGTAAGTCCAGGAACATTACTTTTTTAAAAGCCTCAGAAATATCAGAATCCACATTTTCTAGAATATATTAAATGTCATTTTCACACTTTCAACAATGAAGATGAAAAAAATAAAATGTAATTTTCAACATGACAAAAATATGCTATGCAAAGAAAAAGTATAAAGCCAAATAAAAAGCAATCAATAAAAACTGACTCTAAATGAGCCCAGTTGTTGGGTTTAGAAGACAAAAACTTGAAAGAAGCCATTATAAATTAATTCAAAGAAATAAAATAAGCTATATTCAAAGAATTAATGGAAAATATGATGACAATGATTCAATAAATAAAGAAACACAACAGAGAAACAAACTATAAAAGGCATCCATATGGAAAGAAAAGTCCAATAATCAAAATGAAAAATGTGTTAGATGAGTCAATAGCAAATCTGAGAATATGCAAGAAAGAATCAGTGAATTTGAAGCTAGAGCAATAGAAATGATCCAATCTGGAGAACAGAGAGATAAACACATTGGAGAAGTGGACCTTAGCAGATCAGAGTCACAAGTGCTAGCAAGAATGAACAAAAAGTCATCTAAACCTGAGCAGAAGAATGTCTCAATTGTAAGCCTTTTATTCATTTGTAAAATGGGGATAATAAGTAGTACCTAGACCTCACAGAATTTACAAGAGGATAAAATGAATTAAAACATGTGCAGCACTTCCTGGCATACTATAAGCACATAATTGTTACCTGCTGTCATCATCACACGCATTTTGTTAGGGGGGAAATAGCAAGGCTAGCCCTAGCCCAAAAGTTCCTAAGGAAACTTTCTTATCTTCAGGAACAGTACCTATAGGCAGCTGGAAAGAAAGGGGATAAATCAGAACTACTATTGGAAGGAAATAACAGAGCTATCAGTTCTGTGGCACTCATTATCTCATCAAATATCCTCTAGTTACTTACTAATTATACAATTACTTCTACATTTGTAATCATACTTTATGTTTTTAATATTTGTTCTTTGAGATCTTTAAAAGTTTCTACCTGAATGTGACATTCAGAAACTTATTAGGGTTTATTAGGGTTTATCAGGATGCCAGCATTTAAAAGCATTTCTAGATCTTGTTATATGCTGGCATCCTGATAAACCCTAATAAGCCTTATTTTGATATATGTTGATGCTAGTAGTGAAGGAGCCATAATTAAACTGAATAAGTGATTCGTATAATAGCAGAAATAAGAGTTGCCAAAACATTACACAGATTTTGCCAAAGCAAGATAACTGGCAAGCCAGTTACTCTGACTTGAGGGGAATTACAAAGTCTGGTCCAAAGAGATTCCTTTTCCCACCAACATTATTTATCTATTTCACTTTTTTTCTTTTCTTTTTTTTTTTTACTCACTCTGTTTTTGGAACAGCTTTCCTCAGCCAGAAGAAATCAGACTGTGCTAAATACTTGCGAGTTTGCAGGACGTTGCCAAAGTAGTCAGATTCTGAAAACTTGATCTGAATAAAACAAACCATAAGGATCATTGTTCTAAGTGCAGATAAGAGATGGCTCTGAAAAAAAAAAGACTTCAGTGCACAAATGAGTGATCAACAGAAAAGCTGCACTCTTCACCGCCTCTCAGCCATCATCAGTTAACAAAGTATTCACAAAGCCATGAAAATTTCATCTCAGTGATTTTCTTTTAAAATAAAAAGCACAAAAATCAATATGGTCATTTCTGGATCACAGAAGGAAAAAAAAAAAAGAACAAGGCAAGCTGCAATAATTCACAATGTGTTTCCTTTGCTTCATAATTGAAAAATCTATTTTAACCCTTACAGAACAAATTATCATAGGTTTGAAATTTCTTGGCCCACATGATTCTTTGAACTTTTCTAAAATGTGTACCTTATTTATTTGTCACATAGGTTCTTATAATAACATTCAGTTTTGTCAACTGAAACCTCATTTAGCTTATAGATGATTGTTATAGTCAAATGTTCAATCTAATTTACTGTATTTGACATTTGCTCATGAAGGAAAACAAATGAAAGCTATTCTGAGACTTATTTTCCACCACAAGCACAATTGAGTCACAAGGACAATTTAATTATTAATAGAATTTATCTATTAACACCCAAAAATGTACTGGTCACCAAAAATTAATGCAATTACAGAGGCAAGTCATATATTATAGCTTGCATAGAAAAACAAGAAGTTGTTGGCTCACAACAATGTTGTCCGATAAAATAGGGAAACAGACCTAATTGATTCTTGAGTTCCCTTTTCTTTTTTGGAAGGAAAATGGCAGTTTCAATTCCATAGGCACTCTCTACATAAAATTAGCAGTATTTAGCTAAAACATTGTAAATAATATCTGTGTAAAAGTAAAAGCTATGGATTTAATGATCTCTAATGCTTTGGTCTTAAAATATAATATTGTATCAAATAAAACAAGAAAAATATACATTGTAATAGGCAAATAACTAAGAGTAATTAAATCCTTATTAGTTGTTATATTTTGTAAATTTAAACCATGAAACTCTTTTATAGGTAAAAATTAAAGTGCAGCAAGTGAATGTACAGAAAACCCACGGGGATTACAGTACAGATATTAATGTATATTTACAACTTCATGATTATAGACTTGACAGCGGCCTATTTATTGGCCAATATCTGGCATAGGTTTATCTCTTCCCTAACATATAGTGGGTACCCATTATGTCTGTAGAGTAACTTTTGTTAGTGATTCAGCTTAGTCTCTTCAGGGGACCAGGCCAAAATATAAATAAAGGAGTAAAATAACTAAAAGTACAGATAGAAAAGGCAGGAACGAAAATACCAAATTCTGGCATCCTTGGTGTTCTACTTGACCAACCAGTTATAAAGAAATGACTTTAAATTGTCCCTCCATCAATCATCTTATGGGGGTAGCTGATAAATAAATAAATTGTGGTATAATCACATAATGGAAAACAATACGGCAGTTTAAGCAAATGGTCTGTATGCATGAATATGAAATCATCTGAAAAGCAATGCTGAGTAAGACAAGTTATATGTATGAAAGAATTTAAAATTTTATAACATGTAAAACAATAATGCATGTTGCTTATAGATATGAACCTATCTTTAGCAAAAGCATAAAGAAATGCATGGGAATGATAAACACTGAATTCAAAATAGTGTTTATACCTAGGGAAGAGGAAGGCAGGGGAGAAGGACATTAGGTCAATGACAAGTGCACAATTTCCAACATATCTGTTTTATTCATTTAAAATATGTATGTGCATGTATAAAAATATGGCAATATGTTTAATGTTTGTTAAAGCTATTTGTTCAAAATATGATTTTACATACTTTCCCAATGTTTGCGATTCTTCATATTAAAAGGAAATCTTATAATCAATTGTGTTTTAAGGTAGGTATTTGTACTCAGCCTCAGAAGAAACAGAGTAAGTGCCTTGTTTTAGGAAGCAACCTCATCTAATAATCCTAATGCATTCGCAGTTTAAAAATTGTGTCCACTATTCAACCCTTAGCTTTTTTTCCGTTTTGTTCCCAAGATAGTTCTGCCAGAACTCTCAGAATATGACTGTAACAGAAAATTCAGATACATTCTTGGGTTCAGAACAATTTCCAGGAAATTCTCCCAAAGGAATTTCCATCAAAAATATTAACTTTTTGCCCTGGCTGGGTGGGTCAGTTGGTTGGAGCTACATCCTGTGCACCAAAGGGTCACCGGTTCAATTCCCGGTCAGGGCACATGCCCAGGTTGTGGGTGCATATGGGAGGCAACTGATTGATGTTTCTCTCCCACATTGATGTTTCTCCACCCCCCAAAAAAAATCAATAAAAACATATTTTTTAAAAATGTTAGCATTTTTGGTAATATCAGGGTAGTCAGTTGTTAGTTTTAGAAGAGTTCGCTATTTGTGAGATTATCCTGTTCATCTGAGAGAAAAAACTTGACGTTCGTGTTGTTCTACAGATATCGAAAGAAAAAACAACCAAATGTTTCCTAAAGAAGAGTCCCATGGCTAAAAATACTTTTAAGTAAATAAGGTCCTACCACATCCATGAAAATAACCATGAGGACCAAAACTCAGAAGTAAGTAATTACAATTTGTCAACAGCTTATCATCTATGTTTAGAAGAACAATTTAAAATCTGTTTTATGAAATGCATAGTATTTGCTGTTTCTTAGCCTGGTTTAGTTGACCTATTCCATTTATTTAATGGAAGTTACAGGTGATAAGAGACAAACTTTACTTTTTCCTGTGAGACAGGTTAAGTGTGGGGGTAGGAAGGGGTCAGCCGCAGTTATTACCTTGTGATAGATGGGACACAGAGAAATTACGCAACTTGGCAAAGCCATACGGTCCAAATCATTAGGTTCCTACTTCAATGTTATTTTCATTAGTCTTACTAAGAAAACCAGTGATTTAACAGAAGGGGTACAGGGAAGAAGGAGGAAAAGGTAAGAATTACGGTAAGAGGCCATCACCGGTTTGGCTCAGTGGATAGAGCGTCGGCCTGCGGACTGAAGGGTCCCGGGTTCGATTCCGGTCAAGGGCATGTACCTTGGTTGCGGGCACATCCCCGGTGGGGGTGTGCAGGAGGCAGCTGTTCAATGTTTCTCTCTCATCGATGTTTCTAACTCTCTATTCCTCTCCCTTCCTCTCTGTAAAAAATCAATAAAATATATTTAAAAAAAAAAAAAGAATTACGGTAAGAGAAGCACTGACTAAATAAATCATGGTACAGTTTAGTTTACTTAAAATATACAGCTGTTAAAATAATGGTAATGAAGGCTACAGAAGACAAGGACAAAATAATAAAGGTCAATATACAAAATTATATATAAACATCAATTACAGCTATAAAAATAGAAAGAAGACACTAAAACGGAATTACTTATTAGTATGTCCGAGCACCAATATCACAGGTACTATCGCACACCTTTTCTCTATTTCCCATATTTCCACCATGTGAGAATACTTTGATAATTTCAAATATTTTAACAGGCCCTTGAGTAAGAAACAACTACGCAACTCAGCAACCACTGGGAAAGTTCCACTTGTAGAGATAGCAACAAAAATGAATGCACATGAATATTTTAAAACCACTTATAATCTTCAAAAAATGTTTAAACTCTGCAAGGGACAATTGTTGGCTGAACAGCCTCTTGTCCTTTTAGTTACTGGTGAAAATCTAAGTCAAGTTGGTAATGACTTTTAATCAATTCCATCGCCTGACTTTTCAATTGAGCGACCTTTGCAAAATTAATTGGGGCTCTTGTGTCCTTTCCTAAGAATAGCTATCCAGATCATAAAATTTAGGGGAATCTGAATTTCTCACCAAATGCCACAGACTAAAGAGAATAAAGCTAATCCCCCCACCAATGGCAAAGGACATGTAATAAGGGCAGAGCACGTGTGTTCAGCTTCTCTGCAGAATCACTAAGTACATGTTGATTAAACACTACATAAGTCAATAGAAGTATAGATTCTAGAATACTTTCTGTTTATGTTAAATCCACTTAAAGAGACTCAGAGATATATCCAAATATGTATAAGAAAGATTTTATGTTAGGCACACAAAGAACTTTCTGAATACTTAATGCATCCAGATTTTTTATTTATGTTTTCCCTTACTTAAATAGGAAAGTAATATGCAAGATTGTTTTTAGATGGCTTTGTCCATAAGTAGTGTGAGTGTGTGTACATGTGTGTACACACCTACATTCAAACTGTTTAACAACCTACATATACGGTACACTGCGGAAGATGCAGCTCCCACAAGCAGCCACATAAAGGTGAGGTAGCAGTAGGTAGCACACCAAACAGGAACTAGATGGCACCAGATGCCCTGATGCCACCACCAGGGGTAAAGGGAAGTCTTGGTCTGCTCTGGCCAGTGGAGCACTCTAGATGAAGGCCAGGGCGTGGAAGTTATAGAGGGCTGGCTGGAAATTTGGTGGACACCCTCTTCCAATGTCCACTCTTGGCTCTCCAGGGCCATGGTGGCCAGAAATCACTTGGGAGGGCTGAGCGCAATGTTTTATTTCGGTCTTCTACTAAATAGTACAGAGGTTATTTCAATGTTTTAACAACCTGTCTTTCTGGAGCATTCCACCTAAATATTACCTCACTCTTGCATAGTGGCAGTAGCACTATCGTTTATATACACATAAAACACACAACACATATAAATAGTTACACATTATTATTCACACACAGACACACAAACACACACCATATATATATATGCTCCACTGGCCAGAGCAGACCAAGACCCACTCTAGAGAATATTATGTGGGCTCACATAATACCTATACATCTCTATATGTACATTTATGTTTATGTATATACTAGAGGCCAGTTACATGAAGAGATTCATGCAACAGGCCTTCCTTCCCCTGGCTGCCAGCACCAGTTTTCCTCTGGCACCTGGGATCCAGGCCTTCACTCCAGCCGCAGCAGAGAAGCCAAGCCTGGAGGCTCCTCTGCTCCAACCACAGCAGAGAAGGTAAGCCTCTTCAGTCTTCAGTGTCTTCAGTCTCCGCTCCACACCTGCATATGCAAATTAACCGCCATCTTTGTTAGGTTAATTTGCATGCTCATCCTGATTGGCTGGTGGGCATAGTGGAATGATACCAATTTGCATGTTTCTCTTTTATTCGTGTAGATGTATCATTAACCAGAAACATTGATCTTTTCTGAAAATTTACCCATATCCAGCCTTGGCTGGTGTGGCTCAGTTGGTTGGCATTATCCTGTGCAGTACACCAAAAGGTTACTGGTTCAATACCCGTTCAGGGCACATGCCCAGGTTGAGGGCTTGATCCCTGGTAAGGGGCGTGTAGAAGGCAGCTGATCAATGTTTTGCTCTGTGTTTCTCTCCCTCTCCCTTCCTCTCTCTCTAAAAATCAATTGAAAAATGTATTTTTTTGTAAGTTACCCATGTCCAATTCTCCTAAGTAAACAGATGTCAGCTGTGATTTTGACTTTAGTCCCTACTATAATTCTCTGCTGGCTTTCACAAGAATGAATAAAGTGCCTAATGGTGTCGGTTACTTACTTATTGTCTCTCAGATACATGCCCACACTTTTACTCTGTTCTATAATGCTGGGGCTGGGCATCTGAAAACTATGTTTCCCAGGCTCCATTGCCAGTTAACCCCCTGCCAATAGGAGGGACTGGGGGAAATCAGCAGGTGGCAGGAGGGGAAAGAATTCTGTGTTTGATCTCTTTCATTCTTTCTCTCCTTTTTCTTTTTCTGACATCGACTATAGAAGAATCTTCATCTCCTCCTCACAGCCCCAGCTAACATGGCAGTTCTTCCTCTGGTCTCCTAAATGATGGTACCATCACTTCCTTCCTTTTGTGCCCCTAGATACAGGGATGGTAATAGCTTCCTGAAGTTATTATCTCTGGTATACCTCACCTTCCTGATTTTTGCCTTCCCAACTATCTCCTGTATTAAATCTCCTCTCTTTGAAATACCTAGTGTGGTCTGGGCTTTTCTTGATGATACAGTAATCTTTCCAAGGTTGATATCATACCAGTCTTGAGTCTATATCCATCAAGGATCAATAAAGGACCAGTTAGTAAGGCTAATTTGAAAATGTACTGACACCTACCTTTTTTGGCTAATTAGTAGGCTTTCCTGTATGCTACTGGGGGTTCACATAAAGGACATTTCCTTTATTCTTGCTCTTTTCAAAGACTACAAAAAGATTATTATTCAGAAAAAAATTGGGAGTATCAATTTATCTTCTCTTCCTCAAAGGGGGGGTGCAAATTTTCTCTAATTCTTTACATTTGCCTCTAAGTTCTTTCCCATTTGCTCTTATCTCAACACAGGTCCAATTTCAGTTTTCAGCCTTTCTCCTTGACCTTTATCTAATCCATTACCTAATGTCTATCCTCTTTCCTTTTGCGTTTGTACCCGGTAAATCATATCTTCACTTGTGTCAAATAAACTAAGCTGTTTTTCATTTGTGAAAGCCTCTCTCATGCTCAGAGCTTGTATAACCAGACATTTCTTATAGGCCCTATAGTAGTCCTTATCTACGTATTTCTCCAAACTGAAAATACAGTCCCATTGTGTACCTTCAGTACTTTAGTCCTTTTGCTATTAACATCAGTGACACTATTGCTATCACATCAAGCAAGCATCCTTTACCTATTTTTAAGTTGCATTTTATTCATTTTCTCTATCAGTTTCCAAACACAAATGTATTTTATTTTCATGGATTTGGATTTTTTTTCACTGTCTGTTTTTTAAAGTGTTAGAAACTCTTGGGTGTAATTGTGTCTGCTTTTTTTAAAAAAAATTACTGATTTCATAGAAGAAGGGAGAGGGAAAAAGAGATAGAAACATCAATGATGAGAGGAAATCATTGATCAGCTGCCTCCTGCACACCCCCCACTGGGGACCAAGCCCAGGACCCGGGCATCGAACTGTGACCTCCTGGTTCATAGGTTGACGCTCAACCACCGAGCCATGCCAGCCGGGCAACTGTGTCTGCTTTGGCAGTGAGTTACACAAAAACCATTTCTTCACAAAAGTGCTTACAAATCTTGGTATCTAATGGCTTCCATTCAGATGTTGGAGAAATGAGGGGAAATACCCAACACTGCATCTGGTTTCTTTTTACAAAAGGTACCACATTCAGTGAGTCCATAAGTGTGGGGCACTCACTGACTTTAAACAGCTGCACACTGCCAACAAAACATGATCAACTAAATAGTGTGAGTGAGCCCTAAATACTATCTTATTTGATTAAAGCTTGAGGCTGTTCCCTTTATACAGCCTTTTCAATCAATTTGAGATACCTGGATAATGGATGAGTTAATTTACAATGACTTTTCCAAACAAAAATAATTTAGTATAATAAGTGCAAACTGAAGATGTCATAACTAACTCTTATACTGTGCTTATTGTGCCCCAGGATCAGTTCTAAATACTTTAAATATGTTAACTTATCTGATCCCCACAGCAGCTTTATAAGGGAAGGATTATTGTTATCTCCATTTTGACATGAGGAAACTTAACCACAGAGATCCTAGTTCACATAGTTACTAAACGGTAGACCGCTACACCAAATTGCCTCTCAAACCTTCTTATCCGTATCCTTGACTCAGGAATATTTGCCGATCACATGTAATTATACAGGTTCTCCTGCAAAGATACTTGGTGCCCTGGTGATGTTCTTCTTAGCAGCAACAGTTCTCATACTAATCCACAAAGTAACAGCTACCATTTACAGGGAGCCTACATATGTGCCAGTCATTATGGTAGGTGCTTTTACATTCATATAATCTCCCTTAATCATCCCAGCAATACTAAGACTTGGTTATTATTGTCTCCAGTATCCATATAACCAAAAGGAAGCTAAATGAAGTTATGCAAGCTATACAAAACCAAACTAGTAAGTGGAAGAGGCAGAACCACTCTAAAGCCTGTGCTGTTAACCACTGGACAATATGACCTCCCCTCTTCTCTCCTCCCTTCCAACCAGCTCTAGGCAAGCAGCTCCCACCAATTCTTCAAACCTACCTACCCCTCTATCCCTCCAGCACGGCTCCCTGACAAGGACCCTGCAGAACCCCTTTTCAGATTACAGGCAGAGCTTCCTAGGCCCAGATTTCAGTCCTGGCTCTGATACTCTGTGTGGACTGAGGAAATCATTTAACTTCTTTGAGTCTCTACTTCCTTTTCTGCAAAACGGGGCTAAGCACCATGTACTTCAGAGGATCACTGTGATGCTTAAAAGATAACGTACACGAATGTGTCAAGTGCATTAGTATTTTTAATTATCATAATAACTGTGAGTTTTTGCAGCATCAAAACAATGTAGAATAAGATGGGCTGTCTGAACTTTGTGATACTGTGAAGCATAATTATCTTCCTCCATGACAACTAGATCAATACTTGGAAGGGCATATCTTAGAGCCCAATGGAAAAACTTTCTAATTAAAGCCTTCTCTCACTTTTGAATAATCTTGCAAAATTCTGACATTCATCTACAAAGCTGGAATTGCTTTCAGATATACAACTTGTCAAACCTCAATTTCAGGAAAGAGCTATACCTCAGAACCAGTTATTTAAAGAATTCTAAAAAAAGTACTTTTACAAGAAAATCCAGTGAATGGTACAGACAGGGTTTTTGTAAGGAATCACAATTCTTTATCAGAAGTATTTAAAGAAAAGGAAATAACAGTGGTTGTGAGTAGAAATACCTGTAGTGAATACACCTATTGGAAAATACATGTCCCAAAATACTGGAATAAAAAAGAATTATTAGTATTCCTACATCACTAAATTACTGCAAATATACAGTCCAAGTCACAATAAATTACAGTCATATATATACGCACTTAATTTGCAAAAACACTCACTCACAAAGTTTAATGACGTTAACGCCTAGCTGGCAGATTTATTACTAGTCATTTAATATGAATGAAGCACATAAAGATTGTTTAACAACAAATATACATTCACCATAAGAGCATGCCCACTAATTGCAAAATATTCAATTTGTTTCATTCTTTCCTTTATGATTAAATTAGGCCAAATCCAAGTGTTTTTGCTTTATGGTACCTGCTCAGCTATACATTCTTTCTGACACTTTATTTTTAATCTGTTCTAAATCTTGTGATATGCCTGAATATTAAGGCTCATACTTGGCCAAGGAATGAATAAGAAGTTGGTGCTTTCTGGCACCACCAGGTTTAATTGCTTGGACTTGGGTTAGTTGAAAGGCATGAGGCCAGTAAAACTTGCCAGAAAAAAAAAAATACAGTAAATTTAGCACTTACTGCTTTGAGGTCTTCATTAACATAAGTATCATTCATTATAAACTCAGGATAGCCAACTTTGGACAAAACTGCTCTTGCCTACAGAAAGGAAAAAGAAAATTTATGTCAGCGTTTCAGCACTTACACCATTAATAATCACAGGATGTAGGAATTCAACCTTCACCTGAAAACTACATTTACTGAATGTCTACTATATGCAACCCACTGTGAAGGGCAAAAAAATTGTTAGTCACTTCCCTAAAATACTAAAAAAAAAAAAAAAAACTATAGTGAATATAGCAAATAACTATATGTATAACATAAATAAAGATTTTAATAAAAATAGACACTATTGTTATCAAAGTCCAGAGCAGAGACTATTTCCACATGAGGAGAATGCTTAATGGAGCAGGGGCTAAACTGACTCTTAATAGAATGGTTGGGATTTCAAATTGCAGAGCTGAGCAGAAGGGCACTCCAGGAGAGGAAGCAGCAGGGGCAAAGTCAGGGAGATGGAAACAAAGGGCATGTGGGAGAGAGGGTGAGTAGTTGCTATACTTGGACCAGGAAGCACATGGGCAGTAAGCAGAGAACAGTACAGAAAAGCTGCTTGAGCTAGATCACAGGGATTCCCGAGTACCATGCTACAGAGGCTAGATTTTATTTTACAGATAACAGAGAACTAAATATTTTTAGCAAGAGTAAAATGAGAAGAGCCACACTTCAGCAAGATTATCCATGCAAAATTGTGAATGGTGAAAGACTGGAGGTAGGGGGTCCAGCCTAATTTAAGATGCATTATAACCATCCTTTTGACAGCCATCCTAATTATTCCCTGTGTTGTGCAGCATATACAGAATGGATAAAGCAATCGCCTTAGGCACATACAAAGAACCTCCACAGGAGGAACAGGCAAACTATGGCTCCTAGGCCAAATCTATTCTTCCCTCCTTCCCTCACATCTGCTTTTATAAAGCTTTATTGTGACACTGCCATGCCCACTCATTTACATGTACTCTATGGCTGCTTTTGCACCCATAATGATGTTGTTGACTGTTGACTAGTTGGAACAGAAACTCTGTGGCCAACAAAGCCTCAAATATTACTACCTGGCCCTTTATAGAAAAGGTTTTCCAACCCTTGCACTTGCAAGTGAAAATTTTTCTCTCTCCTCTCCTCAGATTCTGGGTTTCATAAAAACAAAAGAGCAGTGTACTCGAAGAGTAAGTACATTATTGGGGCTTTCCCCAATCTACTGGGATCCCTTTAATCACTTCTGTACATCCCTTCCCCAGCATCTATATTCTTTTTCCTTTCTTTTTTTACAATATATTTTTTATTGATTTCAGAAAGGAAGGAAGAGGGAGAGAGAGATAGAAGCACCAATGACGAGACAGAATCACTGATCAGCTGCTTCCTGCATGCCCCACACTGGGCATCAAGCCCGCAACTGGGGCATATGCCCTGACTGGGAATTGAACCATGACCTCCTGGATACTCAACCACTGAGCCACACCAGCTGGGCTCTTTCTCCTTTCTAATGGCCAGCACCTGAGACTCTTCGACGGTCCCTGGGAGTTTATCTGTCTCCAAACACAATCCCACACCAGCAGCCCTCAGCTAGTGACTGACTGTGTAGGAGCATGAATGCCCAGAAGCTCCGTTGCTGCAGTTCAGGACAAACTTCAAGGTATAACTGGTGCTCCAGAGTTCCCCCAAGGATCAGGCTGTCTGAGATTTCCCCGGAAATTGCACCCTTGCCCATCTCTCACCCTTCCCTGTCTGGCTTCACCCATTCTCTTGCTGGTTTCTCTTGAGAGCACTTGCTGAATAAATCAAAAATCACTTGCACACAAATCCTCATCACCAGCTTTGCCTCCAGCTTTGCCAAGATAAGACTCCAGGCAACCCCCAAAACGAGTATTTTTCCAGCAAAGCTATACCAGTGACCTTTACATACTGCTCTTGGTAACGAGTTTTTTCCTTCATTTCCTTTCAATTTTCCTCACTCAAAATATAAATAGAATTAAGATAGTACATTTTCCTTATCTTCTTTGAGATAATTCAAATGTTAAATATCAGCAGACACCTGAAACTCAAGACTCAGAAAGGATTTTACAAGTGCCGTAGGACACAGTTATAATGGGGTTTGCTGTTCCAGAGACACAAATATAGCATAGGTCAAATTCTGCCTTCAAAGCCCAATGAGTTACACTGAAAGCCTGATGTGACCCAGATACCAGATAAGTAGAGATTACAACTCTCTCCTCAACACCAAACAATATGGCATCTGTCTATAGGTTACCATGTTCCAAGATGGTTTTATTATTTTCCTCATTGTATTTAATACCTCATTGTATTTTATCAGCTCACCACAAGCCGCATACATACCTACAGCAAATAAAGAGCTCCAGACAGTTTCCCCCAAAATAAAGACATGTACAAGCTGAGTCATCCACAACTGTTTTCTGAACACTGGTCTTTCCACGGCATACTGGTGAATTATGCATTGTTTTATAAACCTCACGCTCTGAGACACCCCCCCCCCACACTGCATTATGAAGCTACACAGAATATATTATCTTCTGCACCAGCTATGCAGGTCATTGAATCCTTTTATTTATCTATTTATTTATTTATTTATTTATTTATTTATTTATTTATTTATTTATTTATTTATTTATTTATTTATTTATTTATTTATTTATTTATTTATTTATTTATTTATTTAGCAACACCATAACTTGAACAGAGCCAGAGCAGAGAAACAATTCCTATTCATCTTCCAAGGACACAGAGGTTGAATAAGGTAATAATACTAGTAGCAACATTGCCAAAATCTGAACAGAGTTCTCTTCTTCCCAAAATGTGCCAAATAGATGTCTTTATTCAAACTTAAATGCTCCTTCTGCCAATCTGCTGTCAATTCCACATCATCCCACTCCACCCCATTCTCCATTCTTCCCTGAGAAGCTTCAGAACTACATCTCCCAGAATTCCATGGACATGGTTCCAGGTTAGACTTTGCCAATTAGAAGCACTAGCAGTCACTGTTGGTAGCCAGGGACAGGTACAAAGACATCTGCAGACAGCAAATACAACACTTTGTCAGAAGCTTCCAGGCATTCTCCTGAGAAGACCCCTTTTGTGTTAGTGCAGCAGACATCATTGGCAGACTCTGCTCTTCACTCCCCAGCCTTCCCAATGGTTGCATAAGCCTGCAAGTCCACATATTACATATCTTCCTGCTTCATATACTTAGAAGGGCATCTCTATTCCTGAATAAACTCTAACTGATATACACTTTAAGGCAAATAGTGATCACATCACCTTTTTTATCGGAATAAAAGAAATGAAGCATCAACAGTTTACTGACTTGTTGAAGGGTAAAAAAGTATTAGTGAGGCAGGACTGAAATCAATTGTCTCAGAGGCTACATGGACAAGAAGCAAAGGCAAGTCTCACCACAATTACTGAGAGAACAGTGGCATTAATAGGTAGTAGACTGTATATTATGTCCTGCAAAAAATATTTCCTAGCCAACTGTGGTTGATAAAAAATTCCAGTTTTCCCCACATCCCTTATTCACACAAACCTCTGGAAAGAGTATGCTCATGACAACCGCCTATTGTCTACCCAATCTCCACTCTCCTTTCCTTCCCTTACTATCAGACCCAAATCCTGCTTGTGGTGATAATGGACCCAACAAAAAATAGATATATTGCCCAGCTTCCTTTGCAGCGAAAGTTGGCTGTGGGATGAGATTCTGGCCAATTACATACAACAAAGTCTTTGGTCCACTTTCATGAATCCATTTTCAAAGAGGATAGACTCGCCTGACATATGCTTTCTGCCTTTATGCCAGTTTCTCTGCCTTAGCACTACTGACATTTCAGGCCAGATAATTCTTATTGTGAGCACTGTCCTGTGCACTGTAGATTAGCAGCATCTTTGGCTTCTACACACTAGATGCTAGTAGCAATACACACACACACACACACACACACACACACACACACACACACCCCAAGGTTGTTGTGACAACCAAAACTGTCTCCAGGTGTTGCCAAATATCTCTTAGGGACAAAATCACACCCAAGTGAGAACCACTGTTTTAACCTTTCCTCTTCTTCCTCTCTGTAATGCTGATGCAATGCCAAGGGTAGAGCAGATATAACAGGCAATAAACATGAGAGAACAATCTACATGCTAAAGATGCTGGAAAGAATCATTAATGGTATCTGAATCCCACCATATCAGGCCTGAAATGCCCTTCCCCCCCTCCAGGACAGGAGGAAAATAAACCCCTTATTTAAGGCACTGTATGACATGTTTTCTATTAGCTGTAGTTGGATGTAATCCTAACACACCCTCCTTTTCATCAGATATAGTTTGAAGGGGAAAAACCAGTACCTACTTCATAAGGTTGTCTGCAGTGATTCAGGATGACATACGTAAAGCACTTTTTATGCCTTGGTCCAGACTACATGATGAATAAATATTGACTGTATACTACACAGGGAAGTAGAAACATGACTTCTTCCAAGGATTTAGAATAACTGTTGGGTGCCTGTTTGGAGGGTCTTAGAGAGGAGCTCAGACCACATCGCACCCTTAATGGAATACCTGAAGTCCCCTGTGGACATGTCACTCTCTTTGGTCATAGGCCCAGTTTCAGGAGGCCACACAAAATGGTGAGAAAGAAAGGCTGTTGAAGCAACTCTGAGATCAGTGAGGAGACAAATATACCCACGGGGTTCTTGGAGCACGGTGAAAAATTTTCTGGAACAAAGCCAGACTCTAAGCATGAGCCAGATAACCCAGGCTATTCACACCCCCCAAAAATTCTGAGGATTCTTTTGAGCGACCCTATTTAAACACCTCAGAAAAGGGACACAAGAAACACTATGAAAGCTGATTCTAGAAAAGATCAACAGTTGCCTTTACTATTTGCCATCTTAATTTTGCCTTCCTGTCCTTTCTCTTTCCTGCATCCATTCCTCCCAACACCTAGCAGACCCTGGGTGTCATAACATTTGCTCCCCGATCATACCCAAACTGGCCTTTCCTTGGCAATACACTCTGCTCCAAATTCATCT